GACACACGCGGGATTTCCAAAGGTCAGGATGAAAATGAGAACGTAGAATATCTCATTCAGACTTTATATACTGATTACATGTTGAAATGATAATACCTTGGATATCGTGGGTCAACTAAAACATATCGTCAAAATTAATTTCACCTGTTTTCTCTTACTTTTCTCATGTGGCTACTAGAAATTAGTATTTCCTATGTCGCTCACATGAAATATCTGTTGGATAGCATGGGTCTGGAACCTAGAGTCAGAACCTAGGGCCTGACCCAGAGTAGGCCCTCAAGAAATGTGTGCCAAATGGATGAATGAATAAATGACTTCCATAGATTTCTCAGGCCTTTATCTTCTCACTTGAGCCATATGCCCTGCCTCTGGCTCCCCTCTGCCCCTACGGTGAATGACCAGCCGGGATTCTCAGCGGTCATTCATCATTAGGCCCTCCCACTCCCACACCCCATGGAACAGGGGACAAGGCCCCAAGGAATGAAGGCCCTTGAAAAGAACACACACCCAATAAAGGGCAGAGCAGAGTTTGGGACCAGAATGTCTGTGCCAGAGCCTCAGCTTTTAAACACTACCTCATTTTTGCCAGGGAAACCCTAGGTCTTTTTAAGCACATGTTCGTAAAGGCAAGTGGAAATTCTCAGGGTGAGGCAGAGCAAGTGGTCACATGAGTGTTATCCAAAAAAGGAGCTCTCAGAAGACCGTGCCATCCCTCCCTCTGAAACCTCGACCCCAGATTAAGGTCAAGCCTGGCTTCCACCCCTCACCCCTCTAAGAAGTGTTGAGGTTGCAGCCCTTGCAGACAAAAATCAACAGTACTCTCGCTCGGGGCATTTTGTCATGTCTTCAAGTAAAAGGGCCTTAGGGTGTCCTTGTGATAGTGATAATGGTATTGAAAAAAGCCAAAAGAGTTGGCAATAGCTCTTTGGGAGTCTCTGAAATCGTTAATATTATTGATCCAGAGAGGCTGCCAGTTAGCATTTGCTGGATTGTTTCTTTCTCTCAGTTCCGCTAACATACACACACACACCACCGCCACCAAAGTGCAGAGTCAGGGTGCAGGGAGCCATGTGCTAGTCAGTAAAAGATTTTGAACAATACGCTTACATAATGTCACAAATACTTGCAGGGAGGAGGGCTGAGAAAGGCAAGTGGCAGAGCCAAATAAGAAGGACCAGGGTATATAAGAATGCTGAAAATAGAAGAAAAATGTAAGACAAGATTTTTTTTTCCAATGTTGATCACTTTCTGAAAATGGCCATGGGTCTCTCTGTCCTATTTCTTTCTTTCTTTTTTTTTTTAAGATTTTATTTATTTATTTATTCGAGAGAGAGAGAGAGAGCATGAGAGCGGGGAGGGTCAGAGGGAGAAGCAGGGAGCCTGATGCGGGACTCGATCCTGGGACTCCAGGATCATGACCTGAGCCGAAGGCAGTCACCCAGCCAACTGAGCCACCCGGGCATCCGACTGTCCTATTTCTTCTTAAGATCTCAGAGCACTTCACAGGTCACACACATTGGAGCCCAGCCCTGAGAAGGCATCTGGGTGAGCAGAAGCTGGCCTTTCCATGGAGGGACAGGTTCAAGGGCTGGCCTGAGAACTCAGAGCAGACCTAGAGGAGAAATAGAAGCCAGGCCTTGCAAGTCACATGCGATTGCGTGCTGACGACCTGCCATTCCCCAGACGCTTGGAGACACAAAAGGAGGAAGGAGCCTTCATTCCCAGTCTTGAGGATCTGAGAGTGGTGAAAAAGATAGAACAGAAATACCTAATATTCAAGGGAACTCAGATCCAATCAAGTTAACAACTAGCCACAAGTGGACAGAGGGTGGACGTAAGTAACAGGGACTGCTGAAAACATGGCTTCTAGAAGAAGGTGGAGCTGAATTTTAAAGGTGGGAGAGGATGCTGTTTGACTAGAAAGAGAATGGAGCCTCTTGATTTGGGGGTAGGCACTTGAGGCCAGAGGGGGGCCGTGTGTGAGCAGGTGGATATGTTGACTGTCCTTGCTGGGGACCAAATGGAGCACCTGGGTGGGGAACATCCTTGACGTTGCTTTTGAGACTTGGTTTTATACAAGATGGTAATAGAGAGCTTGGTCAGAGGAAGGAGATTAGACCGGAAACCATCCTTCTGGTCATGGCTGTTACTGGTGGCCTGGCCACATTGCTTAATCAGCAGTGTTTAAAAAAAAAAAAAAAACACAAAAACAAAAACCTGAGTTTACCATTGTCAGGGCTCCCACCAGCGTGTTTTGCCAGAGCCAGGAGGTGGGGTCGGGTGGAGTGGGGGCTGGGGCGCTGAGCTGGGGGAACTAGATTTGGCCCGCTCCCCAAAGGTGTCTACCTGCCGAGAGCTCCTCTTGTCTCCCTGCCATCATGATGAACGTGACACAGGGAGCAGAAGTGGGGCAAGTGGAAGAATGGATTGCAATAAACGAAACGTAGCAACCTGTGAAAACCCAGCAAACAAGACTACATCAGCAGTGAAAGTCAATGAGGCAAACACCATCTGGCCCTGAAAATGAACGGAGCGAGAAAGGATGGCCTCTCCTCCTGGGGGTTCGCGCTCCAACTGGGAGCCGAGTCGCATTCATTCCTGCGTAGACCGGCCAGCACTGGGGGGACAAGTGTTCCTGTGTTTCTGCAGAGCAGGATGTTGGGGAGAGACTTTTTCTCCTTGGTAATATATCAGGGCATAGTTTCACCTAATGGAAACTATTCAGTGGCAAGGAGTTCTAGTAGCTGCTTCGTTCCCATCTCGACACAGAGCAGGACGCAGGGATTCAAATACAGTGGAGCTGTCCGCGGGGGAGGCACCGAGCGAGGGCTTGCACCTGCCTGCCTGCATTCACTCACCCATCCTGCCGTTCATTCATCCCTCTCTCCCTCTCCTTCTCCCCATCCACCTCCTTAGTATGTCACTCCCAAATGTGTGCCAGCACCTCCTATCCAGCCTGCCTCCTCTGAGCTCTCCTCCACGTGGCCACCATAGCCTCCTTGCAAGCCCCGATCTGCTCTAGTACCCCTGATCTTCAATGACTCCCCACTGCTCCCGTGCGGTACCCCCATGCAGGAGCCACTGCCACCCGGCCCGCCGACACCGCATTTGTGCCCAACTCTTACAGGCCACTAATGAGCCACACTGTTCCATGCTTTGGGGTCTTTGCTCATGTGGCTCCATCATCCTGGAGCATTTTCCCTTTTGTCTTCTCCCACATATCCACACCTATATGCCTGCTGATACTTACATATAAAGGAGGATGTGTCAGTCATATCTCCTGCGGCGGGGGGCATCACTGATGCGGCCCCCACAGCTGCCCCGCTGGATCGGCCACCACATTCATGCCAAGGCCATGAGTCCCATGGGCTGCTCCCAGCCAACAGCTGGGCACAGTGGGTCATGAAGGCAGCCCCATCCAACGAGATAGGAAATTCCTCCAGCGAGCAGCTTTGGCTCAAGGACTCCTCATTGGCCTGGCCACACCTCTCTTGGAACTGTCCAGAAGTCTGAGACTCTTCTACCCCATCCATCTTTTCTCACTAGGGTCAGGCCTGCACTGTGGTCTGCGGGTTCTTCCTCACACCTTCTCCGGCTCCCTGCACCAGTGAATCCCGTGACTGTCGAACACTCTCTCTTTATGGACCTGAACTAAGGTACCGAGTTAGCATCCCCTCTTTCTTGAAGACTTTCCTAACCTCGCTTGGGTAGAATTGAACCTTCTCTCCTTCACACCCTCGCCTCTACCTCGTGCATACTTTTCGTGATTGCACCGATAACCCTTCACTCGAATGATCTGTTTATATGGCTGTCTTCTCCTCCCAGGCCGTAGACTCCAGGAGGCCAATGAGTTCACGGTCTTATTTATCTTGTTAAAATTACCACCTAGTACAATGCCTGTTATATTCAGATGCCCCGTGAAGGTTTATGAAATGAATAAATGATTGATCTCTTTATTCAATGATCAGTTCCCATTGTCCTAGACCGTGTGTAAGGTAGAGAGATTAATGAATCATAATTCCTGCCTTCAAAGGCACTCTCAGGGTGGCTAATGGGATCAGCATGCAGATCACTGTTTTATAAATGAGAATGGAATTGCCGTTATCAGAATGGTACAAGCAAAATGAGATAAGAACCCAGGGAAGCCCCTGATGGATTCTTACGGGTGGGGGAGGAAGGAGGAGGCAGCAGGGAGGGCTTACGAGAGAAAGCAGCGTTCTGAGTGGGCCACATGCCACCTGCGGGATTTATGCACGAAGAGTATGAGGGGAAGGGCCTTCCAAGCCAGAGAGACTGCATGCATACGGGCACAGAAGGGTGCTATGATGGGGGACTGTTTTGTTAATTTGATTGTGAGAATTTCCCACTTTTATTAAGAAAATGTTGAAATACCCACAAAGAGAACATGCCTCACTTGTGCCTTCCCTTCTCGGTGTTGTTGCTGCTGGAGAACTCTTTGTTTGATGTGCGTTGGTTTTCTCTGCCTGATTCCCTGGGGCCTCCACCTGCCTAGAGCCCAGGAAGCAGCCCTCCCCGGCTTTGTTGCCAGTTTCTCCACATCGTCAGTCTCCTCGAGTGACTTTCCCGAGTCACATCTGGCAGGCTCTGAGGCCAGGACTGGTGCCTGGGAGGACGGCCAAGTGGCAGCCTTCAGGGACCGTGCCCAGCTGACACGACTCCGGGGCAGAGGACTGGCGGACTCCTACGAACAGAGCCTCACGGCTCCCGAGGGCTAGAGCCTGGAGTGGGCCTGGGGAGCGGGGTGCTGACATCATACGCCCTGTCCACCATCATCTGTTTTTAGAAGGCGCAGTCTGGCTGTGTCCTGAGAACTCTTGCCTGGGGAAGATTTGGAAGGTGGGAAAAGAGAAGCAAGGGAGAGAAGGGGAAAGAACCCACCAGCAGCCACCTGAACGCTGCTGCTCCTGCTGGCTGGCTTTGCCCACAGCTCCGTTCAGCCAGGGCTGGGCCAGCAGGAGGCCCCCCTCACAGACGCCTGGCTAGATGCGCTCCGCGTTCTCAGCCAGGCAGGCTCTTCTCTCGAATGTGTTCTGGCAGCAAAAGCTCATCTCTGGTTGCTGCACAGGCTTCTCCAGAAAACCTCTGCTCTGGAGGCCCACTGCCAAAGCGAAGGTAGGGGAGGCCCCTCCTGAATCCAACTTGAGATCCTCCTCCCGGCCCTTGCCCTCCATTGGATTGGCAGATAAACTCTCCACCGCAAACGTCCTTACTCTCAGACTTTCCTTGTCAGAGAACCATAGAAGCACGGAAAATGGGAAGCCCTTTGGGATCCTCTGCCTCACCTCCCTGCAGGGCAGCTCCTCTTCCAAAGCGAAGTTCTCAGGAAAGATGAGCAAGGATTTGCTCCAATGACAGGGCACCTGTTTTCTAGAAAGCTTCTCATCTTTGTTTTCAGTGGTTACTCGAAATTTCACTCTGTATAATATGTACCATAGTTTTAAAAATGACACAAGTATTACACAAAGTCATCCTTATTATTAAAATGCAAACAACACAGAGGGAAAGTTTGCTCTTCACATTCCCAACCTCATCCTCTCCCAGAAATAAATAACTCCAATAAGCTTGGTGGTATCCCTTCCATAGTCCTTTGGAATACAGCATTTTTAAATTGAAATGAGGGTGGAGTTCTTCTTCGGTTCTTCTATACATATGTGATCATTGTGCCTGTCACTTTGCAGATTATATTTTCTGGTTGACAGCATGACTTTGAGCTCTGTCCCTGTCAGTCCTTCAAGGTCTATGACATTCTCCCTGATGTGGATACATTCTCTCTGATGTGGATGGTATCCCATGGTTTCAGTATCTCATACTTCATCACTCCCGTGTTGATAGACACTTAGTTTTTTTCCAATTTGTTTCATTATTACAATGATACCACTCTGATCCTCATTTCCCAAGCTCCTTGAGAAGGCAACATCTGCTACTCTCTCTCTAGGAGAGTTCCAAAGAAATAGAATCCCTGGGTTTGAAGGGTATGTGCGTTTTAAATTCAATAGAATATTACCAAATGGCCCTCCAAAGCAGCGCACTAATTCATCTGCTTACCCACAGGGTGGGGCAGAATCACTGGCCAGCCTCCACACCATCCTTTCTCCTCCCCTTTTCCCTTGGTGCAATCCACAGCAGGAGCTGAAAAAGACACTTTCCCAGCTTCTCCTGCAGTTAAGAGGAACTATGTGATACATTTCTGGCCGGTACACACACGTGCTCACACACACACACACGCACACACACGTGCACACACGAACACAGAAGCATCCAGGAGTAGAAACATGGTTCTGGGAAAGCTTTTGCTTTCCCGAAGTGAAGGAAGGATGTGACCAGGGCCACCCTTCTCCTTTCTTTCTTGCTTTGAGCTATAGTTGCCCACTTGGGATGGTGAGGTTACAGCCACGGGTGACAAATAAACATGCTAATGATGCCGGAGCAAAAAGAGCGAGCCTGGGTCACTTGTGGACCGACACCAGCAACCACCTTCTCTGCATATCTCATTACAGAAAAAAAAAACAAAAACAAAACCTTTAATTGTTTAAGCTCCCGCCAGTTGGGTATCTGTTACCTGTAGTTGAATGAAAACCGAAATGAGACACAGTGTTGGTGACAGATACCCATATTTGCTTTGATTTAACCTTGCTTTTTATACATTATGGTAATGGTACAACTTTCCTATTACTCTGTTAAACAATAAAATGATGATAGCAATAACTTATTCACTGCCGATTTTATATGTGTTACCTTCGATATTACAAAGATCCCGAGAGACAAATTATCTCTATTTTAATAAGGAACCAGAGACTGGAAAAGCTAAGTTACTTGCCCACAAGGCAAGGGATTCTGGTCTGGTTCTGGCTGCTTCTGTAGGTTCCCATTCATAAAGTGCAGAACCAGGGTGTTCTTTTTTTTTTTTTTAAAGATTTTATTTATTTATTTGAGAGAGAGAGAATGAGAGACAGAGAGCA